TTTGATTGAAAAAATAAGCTATTGGATTGCTAGTTACCTCAACCCATAATTTGATAACTTATTAATTGTGATCATGACCCTAGATTATTTGTTTTCAAGAGATTTAATCACTTTCAGTACTTCATCATGTTATGCGGGCTAGAGAAAAGTAGTAGAGTCATTCTGGTGATTTCTAAAACAATTACCGTTCTAATTATCTTGCATGTTAGCCAGTTCTTCCCCAATATCATCACAAAAACTGTTTAAATTCTTTCATACTGTTTGAAAATTTTTTTGCTTTTCTTGTCCCGCAAAATTCAATAAAAGCAGAGAACAGTGATTTGGAATTACAACAGCTATGTAATTTTTGTCGTAGTACCCTCTTTTGCTCTGGCTGCTATGGCGGATAACTTGGGCACTCAATTTTTTTTATAATGCATTAGATTTTCTGCTGGTTTTGAAGTACATTTGTTATATTATTTTTTATAGACTTTTTTTCTTTGATCGTTTTTTCCAGCGGACAAAATTTGTAAAAAACAAAAAGAAATGAGTTTATCAATGATTCGAAAGAAAGATTTTCATACTTACCAGTCAGATGATTGAAAAGAAATAAGAGCTTCCATTTAATGCTATGGCTCTTATAACAATCAAAATTTTTTCGGAAAATGATGTTTTTTTCTCTTGAATGACCAAGGTCTTTTTTCAAAGCATAGTGATCACTTATTTTACACTGAATGGTTTTCACTTTCTATATGTTTTTATAAATATTCTGATCAATATATAATTATATATAATTTTGCTTGTGAGAGGATGATAAAACATCCCGATTTGTTTTTGAAAATTCATCATTTTTTTAAGGCGAACAATGTTACATAACGAGTTTATTTTTTCCAGCCAATGCAGTACATTTTTATGTTCAGTTTCTGTGTTCAGTTTTTTAACAGTACATAATCCAGCACTAAATAACAGTAGAGGCTAAGGATAACTAGACTGCTCATGCAAGAATGGTCGTATGAATATTCCGTTAAGGTAACATAAGCGTTTGCTAAACGCTGTTTGCTATTTTTAAATTAAACGGAAAATTTTGGAGAAAACTATTGCAGCCAACAGGCAGTCGTTGAACAGCGAAAATGAGAACAGATAATATTTGGAACTTCAAATTTCGAATTTGGAAAAAACAATCACTTTAAATTTTTTAAAATTTCAATTTTTTTTATGATTGTCTCTCAGAAATTTACCTCAGCCAAATAACTGATTCTTAAGGTAATTTTTTCGTTTTGCTGAAAATTTTGCTAATAAAAGTAGTTTTTTCTCATTTTTTTTGCGCAATAAGCTTGTGTTGAATCTGCATTCGTTTAACAAATGAATCATTCAGCTAAGTTCTTTCATTTAACAAATGAATCAGATTTGAAACTCAGCTTAATTCAAAATTCAATCAACGAAAAATTAAAATTTAGCATTGAAAAACTTTTCAATTTTTTCCTTAAAAACAAAAACTACAACACCAAAAAAGGTTATAAACCTCTACTTTCATTATCACACAAAATCAAAAAAGTGGACGCACTCAAGTTACAGGAGAAATTTCAAGAATTCAATTACGAAGGGATTAAGACATATAAAGAAAGCAGACACAATATAAGTGGAAATTTTTGTTTAAAACACAAACCTTCTACCACATTATAAGCCACAAATGGGGCCAGACTTATGCGCCAGACAAATAGCTCGGAATAGTCACTGGTAGTACTATGATAGAGTGGTTCTTTGAAAATAACTAGGTTCCTGGGGATAAAGACATCTAGAGGTCTAAAATTCTTTAATAGTTATGGTTTAGCCTTTCAGATAGATGTCGCAGCATATTGTCAAACAAATTTTTTTGTTCGTTTATTGTAAAAACTCTTCTTCATTATTTTAAGATTAAAAATGAAAAAAAAAACGTCAAAAGTTGAGTTTCGATGGCAAATAAGTAATTTCAATTATGGTTGTTAAATCGTTAAATAAGGCGAAGCGAGCATATTTATTGATACAAACAATACAGTAATTACAACTTTTTATCTATAAAGTTTGTGACTCAACATATTTTGCGAGATTTTTGAAATGAATAATTTAAACACAAATGAGTTTTCAAATTATTTCATGCGAAATGCATGCGTGATCTGTCCATCATAATAGTTTTTTCGAGGGACCACTCTATCATAGTAGTACCCAATCACTCTAACAAAAAAATTCTTGGTGACAAAAATTTGGTGATTTTTGGATGGCGTTACACTTAAACACATTTTCCGGGCCAAAAATCAAGCGTGGCTTGCAAAACATTGGTTTACTAAAAAAACTGAATATTTTCAATTTCAAATTTATATCACCCTTGTTCAAACTTAGTTCCGAAGTTTTTTGCAGCTAAAACAACATCGCAAATGATTTTCAAATTAAACATCTCAGAATTTCATCCGACTTTTTTTACAAGGATTACTTCGGGAAACTACCAAAGCAAATTTTTTCTTAAAATTCTGTTTTAAAAATTCTCGGTTCGATATTCTTCAATTTTAAGGGAAAAAAAGTCCGTCAAAACATGCAGCAAAAAATTACTCAAATTTCAGCAAAAAACCCACTTCCACTGTTGAAAGTGCCAACGTATTTCCACTATATACAAAAAATCTTAAAACAAAATTCAGATATGCTCAAAAACGATATAAAAAAACGCTTCAAAACTGTTAATCAGTTTTCATAAATTTTAAATTTTTCAAGTTTTCACAAAAAAATTGCAATTCACAAACACAGTCAAAAAATAACAAACATTGAATTTAACATTAGCGAGAAAATTCATAAAATACTTCAGAAAGGAAAAACAATCAGCCGATTACGTGAATTCAGCCGTGGCACTCCAAATTATGACGCACTTATCTTTTGTCAGGTAAAATTGTCCTATCAGCCTGTGAACACAAAAAATTAGCGCATGAAAGTTGAACACCTCTTTGACGCGCTTCGAACAAATGACCAACCAATGCCCTAAAACAAGTTTATTCATGTTGCTGCTTTTGAGCCGATCATATCCTTTCAAATAGATTTTTCCATCAGATTTCAGAATTTCAAATATAAATATCGAGAAGTTAGAGAAAATCTAGAAAAAACCTTTAAAAACTCATTTCATCGGTTGGAAACAAAAATATGCAACTTGATCCTGTGAAAAAAAAACTTGCAACTCAATTCCGTAGCTCTCCGAAATGCTTTTTAAAAAAGAAAAAAATCAGTACAAAAATTTAGGTCGGCAAAATATCTTGCAACAGCGGAGGATCGAAACCACTATCTGCCACTTCATAGCTCGAAGCTTACAGGCAGCCAGACAGTAGATCACTCAGCCGAAAAAAAAACATCACGTAGAAGCTCTCTAAATTTCAATCCATAGCTTAAATTAAATTCCTCTTTTAAAACTATAAATCATTTAACTTCTTTGCATTTTTTTTGTCATTGAAGAGCGTCCTTTGCCTGCCTTTTAGCAAATTAAATTGAATTGAACTGAAAAGGCCCAGTCAAACCGAGAACATTTACTCTTGCTCGAATTTAAAGTAAAAACAACAATTACCTGAATAGATCTTTTATTCGTTCATTGTCATTTTTAGAGCATATTTTACTAAAATTACACAGAGGCGAAGCGCGAGAACACGACCAAAAAGCAGCTCTATCAATTGAAATATAAAAAAACAGAAATAAGCCTCAAATTAGCAAAAACTCGGTCGAGTGTCGCATTCCAATCTGTGTACTAGAGACTTTGAGTCTCAAGCACTAACCACTCAGCCACGAATTGTTAAATTTCTCAAAAACTAGCCACCAATAACACAGTTACATATGCTAACAAATTGCCAATTCGCTGCAGCAAAAGTAGCATAAAATATAGCTAAAGCCAAATTGTTGGCAATATTGGTGACCTTGAACAATTTAATGGGTCAAAAACTATTGCACTTTTAAGTTAATTCGTTATTTTAAACACGGCGTTTGCGTCAGGTACGCAGTGAAAAAAATAATCTGACGTCGAAAAGAGCAATTTTAGGTTAAGTAGTTCAGATTTGTTGACCGAATCGGATATTACCAACAATTTGGCATTAACTATACAAAAAGACACAATTTTGCATGTAATTAATTCGGAAGCATAACGCCAAATTATGTATAAATTATGCATTTCAAATAAAATTGCAAGATATATTAAGTTGGAAAACTTCTGAACCGAGCTTTTCATCATTTTACTGCTGTTTGAAATACTTTTTTTTCGGTTGATTGATGAATTAAAAATGCATCAATTGTGTTAAATTTTTAGTCATCAAATTTCAAATCACATATGCTATTATACTGCTACAGCACCCTACCGATTCAAAGTGCCCCCAATAGCGACTTAGTTTGGAAAAAAAGAATGTTCGTACTAAAGTGAATAAAGCACGTGCTATCAAATGCCATGATCTCAAAGAATTTGAACTGATCTTGCTTCCGCAAAATAGTATATATTATCTCAAATAAGACTAATCTATCGTAAAGTTTGATGAAGACTAACACTATCAAATTGAGGTTAAATTTGATAAATATGTGACTTCTTCCTCCCCTCCGCGGTAAAGAAGTCTGACTCAAAGAAAACTTAAGCTGCGCGTATTAAAGTAAAACCTCTGACACCACGTCATTCGTATATAAGGTTGGAAACTTTCTGAAAGGAGATTTAAATCATTATACTGTTATATGAAAAAAAAGCATCAACTGTGTTAGCTTATTACTAATCAGAAGTCAAAACTCTCGGGAATAAACTGCTAAAACAGCCTACTTTTCAAAAGTGCCACCAAAGTAGCACTTTTATTTGCGACTTAGGTTGGAAAAAAAAGAAAGTTCGTACTAATACATTCCGCTACCGCATGTGTAATTATCTAAAAATGTACATTAATCGCGAGAGCAAAAATCTTCTAGTGCTTCTGAAGGATTACAGTACCTCCACGCATTAAAGTCTGTCAATAAAATGTTTTCAGTGAAAAAATTTTCTATAGGTCAAATAATTTATTTAATTGTCAACTTCTCCTACTATCAAATCATCACTCAGTTGTCAATTCAAGTCCCATATTTCGATCACAGAGTCTTCTCTTAGGTTAAATTCAACAACAGTTCCTTCTTTACTTCTCAAGACACTTGACAGTTTCTGCTGAGTTTGGCAGTGAGCAGTCCTTTTCCTTCCACTTCTAGGGGCGCATCTTTATACCTCACAACTCCATTCGAATCCACCTTCAGATCTCCCTTCACACTCTCCCAGATCTTCTTCTTCGGGTGCATAAAAGGCTGCTCTGGCTCGCCCGGGTACTCCTTGCAGACCACTCTGTCGCCCACCTTGGCGCCCGGGGGAGGATCTACCAGTTCGGCCTTGCCACCTGCTTCCACAGCACACATGACCATCGCCTGGGTAAATGTTATATTGGTAACAAGTCATATCATTTTCATAGTAATTGAACTTCGAATAATACTCACGCAATGTCATGCAGAAGAGTTGGTTCGTTTTCAAATTAACCTTGAAGCTTGCTTACAAATGGCCAACAGACAGTTGAAAAATAGTCAATGAGCGCAAGGAGACAAAAAAAACTGACTTGTTTTGTGAAAAAAAATCAACTTCAAAGTAAAAACCAATTTTTACGAATTTCAAAATAAGAAATATATTGCCTTACATGACTTTAAATTTCAAGAACTATTTAAGACTGACATTTTATAAGATTAATTCAATAGAAAAAAATGTAAACCGGATCGATGGGTGAAGTTTCAAAACGATAAAATCCTCTTTCGAAACGATAAAATCCTCTTTCGAAACTAGGAGCCGTTCAAGTTTTTTCGCAGCATTTCCGTTTTCGTGATTAGAGAGCGCAATTCGCCTAAAGTTTAGCAGATGAATTTGAATTGAACTCAAAAAGTGCAGAGATATTGTTAACTACATCCATAAAAGCATTAAGGAAATCACTTTTGTGGTTATTAGAGCATTTTAAGACGTTTTCCTGAAAAAATTCACCAAGGTATATAGAGTCTACACTAGGTTCACCGAATTTTAAAAGAAATTGATAACTCCTAGTGAAAAGGTTTTTATTTGAAGCTGAATTGACTCGAAATTTCGCCATCTAAAATTTGCATGAGTAACTTGAGCCAAACATTTCATGACAACTTATGAAATCAAGAGTTGCCACTCCCTTCTGCAAAACCGCAGATCTTTCCGTGGTAAAAACGCTTCTTAATGTCTAACCTGAGATGTGACTCCTCGCATCTTCGCCGGTTTGAGGTTACACATGACGAGAACCATTCTGTTGCGCAGCTCACTCTCCTCCATGGCGGCAACAAGACCACTGCACACAGTCCTCGCATCACCAAACCCACTTTCATTCCCTACACAACAATATCCGGGGTTCATTTTTGTTACTTTCCCACCATTAACAAAAACTTCAGACAAAAAGATCTGACACAGCTGAGCGAGTCAATATATACCAAAAGTTGTATTATTTTTGATAATTTTTCCGACCATTTGAAAAATGCAGAGGAACTTTGTATTCGAGTGTGTTCAAGTTTTTTCTGTTTTTTGTTATCCATGCAAAATGAGCTACCACAAATAATCATTAGAGAGAGTTCAGTGG